GGCATTTCTTATGCTGCTATTTGTTAGGTAGTAAGTTGCAATTACAATTACTTTTCTTTCCTATAGGTGGCACACATTAGTAGGTTTAAAACTGGTCTGGACAAGCTCCCTCCTATGGAGAATCTGCAATCATATACCGCTAACCTCCTCATTCTGTGAGCTTATATGAAGGTAGATTATAACTTTGTTTTTTATGTTATTGGATTACATAAGGGTCACAGAACTTACCCGGGCCTGCCTAACTACACTGATGACATCAAAGAGACATATCCATTGCTTAAGGCCTCGTTGGCATTGTTAGACCTAAACTGAAAGCCACTGGTCCCTGCTTCTCACAGGGAAAGGCAATTAAAGCCCCTTTGAAAAATATTCATTATCAGCAGACCACATAAAGGTGCTGAAAGGCTAAAAAGGCACAAAATATCAATTCTACAGACGACTGGGACAAAAATGTTAGCCTTCATTCACAGAGTAAAAATTCAGCACAAAGATTAAATCAGCCATCATCGTCAGGGAGGCATGAATACATGTCACGGTAAAAATATACTGTATTCCCTAAATGTAGTGATGGAATGAATACACGCCGTCATGTTGCAAGGGCCAGTGCTAGATTCCCCTTCACAGATTCCAAGCTGTCTGCTCCCAGCATGCCAATCTGTCATGTCCTTGTTCACATCCTGCCCCTCATAGGAAGCCCTGTTCCCAAGCTTAAAATGTTTCCCGATTTAGCCCAACCTGGTCTTGTCGTAAGCAATTATACACAGAGTGTGATGAATGCCAACAATGACAACATAACCTCAGCAGGAGATCCATAATCTGTGTGGCACTGTTTTTATGTTCAGCTCAACTTAAGCAGTGTTCAATTCCTTGGAAGGTGAGAGAAAAGTTACAAATGTACAGGGTTTAGCAAAGTATGCGGGTCTTTGCTTGTCTGTGTAGGTGAAGGTCAGTGCAGGTGGAGTTAGTCATGCACGGGTCGTCCTTCGTGGGGCAGTGAGCAGGTCTCAGTAAATGAGTGTAGCAGAGGTGCTGAGGGTATATCAAATTGCACTCTGTGAGAAAGAATGCTCCCTAAGGTCATAAATCAGAGATGGGGCAGAATTTCGCGCCTCTCTGCAGCTCAGCAGGCCTGTTTACACTGACGTAAGTGGCACTCAATAGACTGCCACTAATGCCCAGCCTGTCATTCACACAAACACACACAGAAACACACACTCTGCTCATTTACCCTAAAAGAAGTACAAATGTACACCTAAAAACATGTTCACAAAACAAACGATATTATGCACTAAATCCTGTTTAATAGCAACCAATTTAACAGCACCAAGACAGAGAAATCCAATGTAAACATCAAGGCTCATTTAATCTCAATCCAAACACTGAACATTTGCACTCATAATCTCATATTCTGCCTACAACGGTCTCTTTTTATTCATTAGAGTTTTTACTTTATAATTGGGTTTATTGTCAACACACCTCAGTGTTATGTCCAGTCAAAAGTGTAACCCCTTTGAAAGCAGAGGGCTCTTGGACTTAATAGTTTTATTGTCCTTCACTAAAGTAATAAATTATTCCTGAACAAATTCCTGCAGGTAAAATAAATATCATAAACTGGGAAAAAGTATCAACAGAAGGGTTCTGTTTTGGATCAATATGAAAGGACAACTAACCCAGGAAAACAAGCTGTAGACCATAAATTTGAACACAATTTCCTTGGCAGACCCACCAAAATGAGGAACCCCAGAAAAAACACAAGCAAGGTGTCCAGCAAATAATTCATGACGGCCTGTGCAAGCATTTGTCAATTGCATTGAGACAGACACCAATAACTTTTTTTGCCCCGTTAACTGCCCTCATGTTGTCAGGTCATGCAAAAATAAACACAAGGAGACACAGCAATGGCTGGTTTTAAACTTAATGTTCACACTAAATTAGAGGTGTGTAATGAAGAAACACTTGCTCTGTTCTTTCATTTTAATCAGTGCAAATCATGACAGAAATTAAAACACCAAGTGAACCTCGGTAGGAAAACTTCCTTAGTAAAGACAAAGCAAACAAATAAATGTGAAAAGAAGCTGCTTGGAGTCTGTTTATGTGTCTTACTATGTGTGTGCATGTGCTTATGGGAGTTCCTGTGTGTAAGAAGCTTAAGTGTGCTCATGTAAACAACAAACATGCAAAAACGGTCAAGAGAACCTGTGTGGCCAACTTGCTCAGAGCCTGCAAGGATCATGCTCCAATTTGTACAGTAACAGGAAACAACATCTTTGCAGACTAAGAACTGAGCAACCACTAAACAACATCCTCCACTTTACAAACTACACAGTTCAACCAAAGTTGTCCCCTTCTCCCCTGAAGATACCTGCTGTGCACTTGTGAATATATGTTCAAAGCTTGAGGCAGAAAAGTTGAATTGGCCACAGTTTCTTAAACCAAAAAAAAATTACCCTGAACCTTTTAAACAGGATGTTGGAGATATTGTGTGGTGTTTGATTTCTTCCTCTACTCAGCCGGCACTCTCCATCATTCCAGTGGCCCCAGTGACACTCCCATTCCAGCCCCAGCCCTATCTGCTCACAACAGGAAATCATGACTCCTTAAAACACATCCTGGACTAATCCTGGTGAGAAACAAAACAGTGCAGAACAATCTCAAAAACTAAGAATCTTCTAAAGCCCTTCATCTCCTATTATTTTCTTCTTCTCTAGAAGCGTATCAATAACTGACTTTACTGACTTTTGAATGCTACTGTTTGCAAGCTGCAGATTTTATTTATTGATTTGAACTGTAATAACTAATTTGAATATGAAAAGTAGCCTTTAAAACCGATCTGCTCGAATGTAGTGAGAATAGCAAGTTAATCATTATAAACTACAAGTTTGCAGTTAAGGATATCCCTTAATCAAATTCAATGTAATTATTCATAATGACTCTAATGCCGCTGCTGCATAAATGGATGAATCAAGATACACACAAGATAAACACTTGTGTATTAGTGTGTTACTCCCCATGACGTGGTGGCCACTGGAGCAGTAGAAAACAAATCCAACAGCAGCCAGAGGACTTTAGGACTTGAGGGCTCGTAGACGTAGTGGGGCTGAGAGGACTCTTATCCACAGCCTTCCGATCCCCACTATCAGGTTATCCCAGTGGGGTTTTCCTGATAGCACAGCCTTGCTGATAACAATAGCCCAGGTCCCAGGCCACTCTGTACCATGCTAACGGTGTTAGCTACCTCATTACTCCACTGGCTACTGGCCTATCACAAGCCCATCACAAACCCAGTGGCACCTTACCAGCTACAAACCATCAGCAATCACTACTGTCTTACGGCCAACAAGGGAATCATCACAGACTGCAGTGTACAGGAGCCAGACCCTCCATTTGGCATATTGAAAAGAGAGGAGAGTTTTTCTCAAACAAACTGTGCAAAAACACAGAATGCTGTTTGTTTTGAGAGCCTGTGCTTCATAAAGATTGTGACATCAAACAATGGAAAGATTTGAGAGAATAAGCTTTCAAGTGTTTGTAAAGAAAGGAGTTCCTATCTCTAGCCATGCAGGTTTTCTTTCTTTATTGCAAACCAATATTTCATCCAAAAGTTTTCATGCCTGGACACATTTAACATTCAAGTGTATTTAAGTACTTATCTTTAACGATAATGTTAATTCAACAATTCAATATTTATTCACTTTAGTTCTTTTCATTAATTTAATTGTGTAAATTATAATTTAATTCAGGAGCCACATTATCAACCAAACGTGTAACTCTATTAACAAAAACAAGGCGTGACACTGACACTATCCTTATTCTTCTACTAGATGAACAGCAGAATTATGTATTAAACATTTTTGTAAACAAAATAGACCAATTATAACAATATATTATATATTATACTGAACACTGAAGAAATGGTTCACTAACTGTTTCTGTATAGTAAAGACAACCACAGTAAAGAAAATAATAGTAGCCGTAGTAGTGAAAACATCAACAGCATCAATGTTTGCAGAGGATGGAGTATGTTGGTTAGAGTAGTTAGAAGAGGGTGACTGAGTATATGTTAGTGGGTTTTAGACATTCCACTTGCAAAGCTGTAATATGAGGGCTGAACTGCAGTTTATCCAGCTCAATTAAATTTCTGCATGCCCAATTCTTTTGAAATAAAATGTGTGCAATGGTACAGCTTTATTAAGCAGTTATTTATCTTTGAGATAGCTTATCTTACCACTTCACCTTATTTTAATATCTTTGTATATCTTTGGAAATGAAAAGTTTTTTACCTGAAAAACTAACAGCTATGCTTGCTCCAGTGTATAACTTTACTCAGAATCAGGGGTTTTCTTCTGAGCAGCAAATGTGTGTATGTGACTACAAATACCTCTTGCAAAAGATTTTGTCATGGCCGGAGGAGTTGTTGTTAACAGGTGTTACACTAGAAGGGTTAGTGGAAGTAAATAAACCCAAAGATAGAGATAAATCTAAATTCTAAACTTGTATGTACAGTATATTTTCTTAAAGCATACAATAGATTTTAATAATCCCAATTTAATATTGATAAATGTCTTCCTGCCAGCACCTGGACACATGATGTTATAACAAAATGTTTTCGATACTATAAAATTCAGCAATAATGACTTTGACAAAACAAAATTTGACATGCTACTGATTATGATACATTGCTGACATAAACAAGTTTCACATATTTCTCATACCCTATTAAAATTATTAAAATTAATGGGAGCCAATTGTGTGAGAAACCCCATGAGTCATCTTTCAGTCAAAGTCAATCCAAACTTTTGACTTACCTAAGAAGACCTAATCAGACAAAACATAATGAGTGGTAGCAGCCACATTCATCATTTAGTTGTGTGGCACCGCCCTCTTTATAATAATACAATGGCTCAGCTGGCACACAGTGGTTTCATGATCGAGTGTTCTCAGCTTAAGCTTTTATCATATTCATATTCTATAGATGGAAATAGTAATATTTTGTGGCTCACCTGGTTCCTCCAAAGAGGATGATTCGATCTCCAACCATACAACAGCACTGCCGTCTCCGTGGACATGGGCCTTTCCCCTTCGGTTCTACCTTCTCCCAGGAAAAGGCTTCTGTAATGTGTACACACAAGACAAACATAAAATTGAGACAACAATATCTAGACATAACGATGGAAAAAGAAAAAAATAGACGTGCATATACTCTGACTTCTTTTGAGATGGAAGACTGTGGGAATGTGGGATTACATTCTTGCTTTAAATAGCTCAACAGAGGGATCTTTAGCACAACACATTTTGATCTGTGTGGACGACATCATAGCAGCTATACAAACTCTAAGCCACTTAAAAGTTACATAAACGTACTGGTGCTTTCCATTGTGCCTGCAGTTCATTCAGCTTCCTGCTATATTTAACCACAAACATAAGGCCCAGGGATAACGGAATGAAAAGGAGCGATGAGAGCAAGAAGACAAAACTGAACCTTCATTCGAACACAAAACTTTACATTTCAGAAATAGACACAAATCCTCTCTTCTGCTCTGCTGAAGTGCAAGATGAGTGACGACGCCGAGGCTCTCAGTTGTTCCATATAAGGATGAACTGTGTAGCCTCACACTCTTAGAGCCAACAGCATCATTGCATCTCTATAGCAACAGGCCATTCAGACCTTGTTAGATAATAAGGACTATAATTGAGGTGCTGCCATCTACTGGACTGCAGTAGACCAGTAGATCTCTCCAGCTGGATCATACCTAGTGCTTTATCCATAAATACCCTGTGATGTGCTATAAAGGTTAAGAGCTTGGCTAACTGTTATGAGGCACATTCTGTATATGCCCACTTTTGTTACAATTAATGCTATTCTGTTACTATTTCAATACCATATAGGACACTATATTAACAGTGATTATATCCCTGGTGTGCTACTTCAGCTATGACAACAATGTTTTGTTTGGAACAAGAGCGCAAATGTTTCCTCTGGAAAACATTTAAACCGACTTGAGAATCAATCTGGCAACATTTGTAAGAGCAGACAAAGACTCCAGAGGCTGAATTATTGTCAGTTTTTCATCCGAGTGTTTCTGGCAAAAAGACAGGGCATCTGTGTTTTTCACATTCGGCAAAGTGAACAGGGAGCAGCCAGCCACCACCACGAGACTGGCAATGATGCAACAAGGGAGGAGAATATTGTCTACAAGACTCCCTGCAGAAGAATGAGGAGGAAAGTGGGTCGACATGAGCTGGCATTGCCAGTTCTGCATTTCCTCTATAGAGGTAAACAATCAATGCAGGCGCATCAAAAACAAAATTACTATGCACTAAGCAAATAAACACCATCAAGAATGAACAATTAGCAGCAGTATTTTAAAGCAAAATAAAATGTTTTTCCCCAATCGGACATAAATAAATGGTGAATCACCTGGATTGAATTTCCAGAGGTCGTTGAAGTGCCGGTCCAGACGGGCATTGTATCCCCCAAATATATACAACTCTCCATTGTAGGAAACTAAACACAGAAACGAAAAGGAAATGAAAACGGAACCTTATTTTATGTCGCATCATGCAGATCAATGACATTTGCAGCACAGTAAATGGAAACCATGTGAACGAGTTAAATTAGCTGGATTTTTTTTAATCATACAGTGTTGGAGGGAAAATGCAATTTTTATTACAGGATGAAAAACACTGTTTATACTCCAACTATGCAAACAATAAAAAACCAAACCATGCTTGAAACGGAGACAGGTCACACTGTAAAATAAGTTTACATTTTTCCTCTTAAAAATATATTTTTTAAAGATTATTCAAAGTAAGCGAACCACGCTGCTCCCCACCAAACAATAGTGTCACTTATTGTTTGCTGTCCACACAATGTAAGCATTTCAAAGTGATCATTATAAATTTGTTCATCATGTGGATGTTGTGTGTATGTGTGTGTGTCTTACAGGCTGAATGACTCCTGCGTCCCTCTGGCAATGGCTGTGTTGAAGGGGTGCCCAGCCAGCAGTTGGTCTCTGTGTCGAACACTTTGATCTTGTTGCAGTAGATCTCGTTGTTGGAGTGGAAGGGACCAAAGCGGTCTGCTCGCCCTCCAAACACAAACATCTTTGTCCCGATGATGGTGGCTGAGTGGAAGTCCCTCCATCGTGCCGGAGTGCCCTGTGAACAGAGGACCAGCAGATAATTCATTTACACTCCATAAAGTTTGAGAGGAGAGGCAGACAACATAAAGCAGTCTACTCAGAACAGAAAGCAAGGACATACATTCTGCATTCTTGCATAACCTGAACCACACCTCATAAACAAGTTTTAGTCCAAAACTCTCCTACATCCCTAAACTTTCTATTCTCATCATAACCTTGGGTATAAAGCATCATCTTCACATTGGCAAACATGAGGCTTCTAGACCAGCAACTTCAGGTAAACAGTGCCATCTAGTGCACCATGTTACCAACTGCAAGGACACACTAAATCCAAACCACTTTAAAGCACCACCACCTTTCAGAAATAATGTACAGTAACAGGGACATTGTTTAAAATTGAGCGGGAACCAATCTCAGAAGAATAATGCCGCTGATTCCCGAGAAACATGAATAATGCCAAATATACAATAGTGAAATGTGATCCACTGAATGAAACTGTGCAAGACAAAGGCAGGCCTGTATCCCCTTTGCATTTAGTTGGCCTAAAGCCATGGTAAAGCCTTTCACATGGCCTGCTTTCCAGAATGTGGTGCCATTGTTTTCCACAAATCTAGCAGGCTTTTTGACTTGAAGTATAAATAGAGTAGTGGGAGTAACAGAAAATATTGTAAAAATTACACAAAATATTAAATTATACAAGTAATGTAAAAAATAACCAGATTACCGGTAATATTTATAATAATCTAGTGCTCAATCTTGGAAAAACAAGATTTAAGAGAATACTAAACATAGTGAAAATTGAAATAGGTCTAATAAACTAAATGTATTTAAAACAAGGTCAACTTCAGAGAAAACAGGCTGAGTAAACAACAGGTAGTTTTGTTTTCAAAAAGAATGCAAGCCTGAGAACATTCAGTCACATGCACAACTAAACCTGTAAGCACTACATTGTAATCTCCTTGATGACAAAATGTTATCAGTTAGGAACTAAAACTAGGGACTGGTGGAAGAGGGACTGGATATGTCTAAAATATACTTTACAAGAGTTTATCACATGAGCTGTTGACAGCATACAAACACAAATGGCATTTCCCGAAGGGGGAGTGTATATAATCCTCTGTGAGGCTTTTTGTACTTGGCCATGTACCAGGGAGCTGCATTACATTGCATTGCCTCTGTATCCAGCCAATCTGACCACTGAGAGCTTCTGTAGCAGTACTGCCAACCCCAGTAATGACCAATGGTTTGTGGATTTCCAACAGTGCATTGAATGTAACTGAGCATGTTGCCAGTCCATTCTATCTTTGTTCTTCGTTGAGTGAGTGCTTTGTGTCCACTTTTAGGTGGACTTGAAGATTAAGTGCAAAGATTCTTTGTAACAAAAAAAAAAACTTTTGAAGAATTAACAACTCGTGGTTTTTACTCACTCTAGCATTAATTAATGACCAAACCATGGTGGTGGTGTCCAGCTTGTGGATGTCATTTGAAAAGCAGTCCGCCTAAAAAAAACAGCAGAGGAGACAAATTAAATCATCTTTTAATGTTCAGAGAGCAAGCCCCACAGTGAAGAGAGATGAACACTTACCAGCTGCTCATATCCTCCAAATATATACATCGACTTCCCCAGGACGCAGGACGAGTGGCCGTCCCTTGCCCCTGGAACAGTCCCTGAAATCTTGGGTGTGAACCATCTGTGGGAGTCTGTGAAGCAGGAACAGTTTATATTAACTCTAAGCACTCTTTCGAGGGTGCAAACCTCTGGTTTTACAACCCTTTAACACTTGAATCATGTGCAATGGAAAAGCATCACACATATAAGCAGGTGTTACGGTTCCCTAACGTACAGTTTTCTCTTCCTTTTGCTATCATGGCCTCAACATCAAACAGGTGCATCTCAAAGGAAATACAGCCTGAAACTATCACTTAGCAGTGTGAGTTAGAGGCAGGTCTACTTACTGATATCAAAGGCATAAAGCACATTGCAGGCCCCCTCTGTGTCGTTACGCCCACCCCAGAGGTAGATAACATCATCCAGCAGCACAGCTGTGTGGCCATAACGCATATATGGCACTTCACGGACACGTTCATGTCCTCCCGTCCTCACAGGAGGCAACTTCATCCAGCGCAAAGACACTGAAGTATAAAACAGTCGAGAAGGGTACACTCATTCAGTACATGGTTGAAAAGTAGCTATTCATTACCTCTTGTTGTAAGTTTTTTAAATGACAACCCTATCAAAGCAGGAACCAGAAATTTAAAGAATATATAGTGACAGTATGTACTAAAGACAAGCCTCAATGCCAAAGTAAATGTATAACTACAATAACATACTGCAGAGAGATATTTCAGTTCAAGATACGTTTATAAAATTAAAAGCAGTAATACCAATTAGAGAAACAACTGGGAGATACACATGCAAGAGATTTAAATTTGAAACTCAAAGTAAAGGTCAGCAGTGATATTTCAACAAGCTCTTACAGCTGTCTGATATACCTGCATTTATTTGAACCTACTGTATAAAATGACAAGATGTGAAAAATCTTGATGAAATGCAAACGGTTTCTTTGCAAGTTCACCTTTTACTTATTTTGAGAGGTTGAAAACAGAAGGTGAAGAGTAAAGTCTCTGAAAAGACAGACAAGTAAAGAAAAAAAAAATCAAAGGACTTTAAAAGACAGAAGGCTCTGCTGTAAAACAGACATCAAAGAGAAGGAGCACAAAACAAGTGACGAGCTAAAATGCTGAAACAATAGCTAAGGTGGTCCCGTTTCCATTTCAATCAACCAAAGGCGTCTTTATCAAGGTTTGGTTCCACAGATCTTTTCATGGTACAGCAATAGCAGGTAGGCTCCAACTACTTTAAGGAGTTGTAAAACCCTAAAGCAGGTGGCTGACCACACGGAGGAAAAAATATACATGAAATGGGTTACGAGGAAAAAAGGGGAGCCGTTTTACAAAAGTTAGAGCAGCCCATTTTAAGAAAACACCTGTGTTTGCGAGATAGCAACAAAAAAAAACAACTAACAAAGGAAATTTCCCAAACCGCAGCGGAAATCTTGGGTTTTTAATTGCCAGCTGTAAAGAGTTACCGTTATAATGGCGGTTCAACAAACTCTGAGAGACTCTCTTTAAAGGAGAACGCCTTCTCAACTACACAAATGATCTGAGAACAAACAGAAACCTACAGTAGATGTGTATGAACCTAAACCATTTCACATAAACATTTACTGGGGTTTCAGTATGGTCCTGATGTAAAAATCCAACATCATACTGCCTGAAAACTGTAGTTTACTGTATTTGATTTTCAAGTCATAAACAACAGTTGCATTCACTGTCAAAAGAAACAGCTGAAAAGAAGTATTTAAAGAATTCATATGTCTAAACTCTAACATCTTCCACAAAATGCCCAACCAGTGGGATCCCTCAATATAAATTCACCACCTACCTGTGTTGAAGACATGCACGTCAATCTGACGGAGTGTCTCGTAGTCCTCCCCGGAGCAGTAGCCTCCAAAGGAGTACACCTTGTGCCCCACCGCCACAGCAGCATGGTTGACTCTCCGCGGCCCTCCTTCAAGGTGCACAGACCAGCGCAACATTCCACGCGCGAGCACCTCTGTGACTCGGAGTCCTTAGACCATCACTTTGTTGCCCGCTTGGATCCCATCAAGCCAACACCATTGAAACCTGTGATGGGAAAAACAACGAGAGGAGCAGCACTCTGCTTAGAGAGAGCAACGGGGCAAACAAGGAGTGGCAAAAAAGGAGAACACAAAGGGGAACTGTTTGTCCTCTTGGCCTGAGAGTTGCTCTGCTTTGCTGTTGCTGACAGGCTCACAAGCCCCTGTATTATCTGAGCTGGGAGAGTATTTTAAGAAGTGATTAGACCTACACCTACCACTCCTCTTTCTTTCTGCTCACGCTCATCCCCTGTGCCCTCCCACTGCACTATCAAAGTACGGGCAGTTATGGGCATTAAAAAAAGTCAATATCACTACACACAAACTCCTTCAGTAATCTTTTAACTACAGGGAGCTCCTGTTAGGTTACTTGGTGGTATAAAGTGGCGTGTGTCTAATCTACAGAAAAGGGAGCAACATTGAAACATGTCATTTGGCTATCTTGGCTAGTTGGGTTTTGCATGACTGGACAGTCGTGCAAATCGAACGTGTTTGATGGAAATAAAGCACGCTAAAGGAAAGCATCTGGAAATGTCCGCAGCTATTAGTTTATTGACAGTTTCTAATTCAATAATGCTTCCAGGAACAGTTTCTCACACTCACTAAGAGCCAAAAATAAAAAAGTCTAAATCGCCATGTTAACATTTAGTCACTAGCTGTATGTCTTGCAGAAAAAAAAAGCCCTTAGCTTCTGGAAAACAAGTGAACCTGCGTCTTGCAAAACCATAAGTGCCCCTGCTTTTTCTGTCTCAATGACTCACTTACTCACTGACCTCCAACCTTTGTTTGCTCTTATAAATAAACCCCCCAGAAGACCATTTCACATGGGCCTTTCTATTTCAAGACCACACATCTCCGAGGAGCAACAAAAAAAAAAAAACCCAGATCTACACAACAGGCAACTGAGAGTCTAAACTTTATTACCATCGTTGTTTTTGGAGCCTTCTGTTAAAAGCTGCCATGCAAACACCAAGACCCAACCTGGGATAATGCGACTCCTCCTCATACTTGGCTGCAGCAAACCGGTTTCCAGACTTTTATAGATTGATGAGTGTTTTTTCGCATTTCATCATCCTGAAGTCTTTTTTTTCTCACGTACATTTCTGCTGAGCCCAGTGGGAGTTCGTACCCCCTCCTGACCCACCGAACAGGATACTGTTGTGTTGATATTAGGATGCCTTGGCCATGGCACTGCCAACTTTAAACAGACCACAGTGGCTTTGTGCACGATGATACACATACAGTAAAGCGATGCATACTACTGCTCAGCTCCCGGCTGGCCATGTCTTCTGCGGACGCACAGATGGTTGATTGATAAAGCTAATGCAGACCCGGTGACATTGAGCTGTACCACCGTTACTACAGTCCACTCACCGCCTCACACACTGGCTACCTACCCGACAGGAATAACAACACACACCGCGAGGGCCGCTCTGCCTCATGGCATCAACTTTAACGACAGTATTTCCCCCGTATCCAGCTGTTTTGGTGGCCAAGCTGCTGCTAACGAGGCTAAAGCTAATCTGTAGGTGCTACCTTTATTTAGCTGTTAGCTTTTAGCCAACGTGAACTGAATGAGAGAGCCAGACTCGCCTTTAAGATTTCCACAAAAGTTCCGAGCTGGTTGGCTGAGAGTGATATCAACAGAGGGATTAAAATGCATCTACCTTCAGTCGAGTCGGTTGTGGTGAACTGGTGTTCAGACAGGCAGACAGTGGGAGCCACTACCGACTCCCTCGTGACGTTTTCGGGAGGAGAAGCGTCCGCTGCCGCCCCCTGTCGGTTGTTCCCATCCTGGAGGAGAAACATAACACACCGACAGAAAGTATGGAAGTTCTTTTCCGCCAATGTGACTGGGGGGAAAAAAAGATTCTGTAAGTTATTATAATGAGAAACTTTCTCGAAATGTTGACTTAGAATCTCAAAATGATGAGGAATTGTCTCCAAATTTCGAGATAGCATCTTAAAGTATTGACTTGTTATCACAAAATAATGAGAAAGCCTTCAATATTTTGACTTAGCATCTCAAAATAATGTATATTTTGACAGTTTCTCATTATTTTGAGATACTAAGTCAATATTTTGAGATACTAAGACATTATCTTAAGACATTGATTCAAAATACTGGGATAGTTTCTCATTATTTTGAGATACTTAGTTTTAATTTTGAGATACTAAGACATTATCTTAAAGGGGAACTTGGCAAC